TAAATTTATCACGTTTTAATAGACGGGTAGATTGTATTATCAACAGAAAATTAATCGATTTTGATTAACTTATAGTAAAAAGTAGCATTGCAACTTTAACTAGAAAACTGTAAATGTTCTTTTACTTCTAAAAAAAGCATTGATAGACTTCATTTCTTCAAGGCTATCGTGCATATTATGCAGATGTTCGACTATACCTAACAATTACTGTTTCGACTTCGTGCAAAGCGTGGGTGGAGGTATTTTTCAAAAGTATGCATTCACGCGTGGATTCGATGACGAGATATCAATTTAAATGTTTCAAATATATATATAAAAAATGTATTTTAAATAAGAAATAAAATAAAACTGTCAAAATTGTAATGTTAATTTTATCTGATTTTAAACGCTCGATGAATCTGTAACGAAATTCAACTTCCTTAATGATAACTACGAACAATTTGAATTGTAGATTTTCGTCTAGAAATTCGTGAATTTTAAGTAATTAAATGTGTTTATTGTCCATTAAGTCTCTTTATTTTAGTTAAGCTTGGTTTATATTCACCACTTTTTATATTTTTGTATCTAAAAGTAATTTAATTCTTAATTTTTGATTGTATTAGTTAATAGAATTTAGCAATAGTTTCGATTGTTCGTAGCGTTAAAATAAAAATAAATATTGGAAAACTTCCAAAGTTTAGAATCGTTTTTATACTTTTAATTTACATTCGTCTCAGGAATTAAGAATTTATTATTATTATTATTTTATTATTCTACTTACATCTTGTATTGTTAGAAGAATAAAATTATCCAAGGTATTGTTTTGAATGAAAGCCATCTGCCCGGAAAAAGAAAGGGGTGGAAAAATGTAAACATTCCTGACTATGACCGAAGAAGAGTGCATTATTCATAAATGTCTTTCGTTTTAATTCATTAAGTATTCTATTCTCTTAACTAGAATTCTTTGTTCTGTAGTAGAAGAGGGAGTGTACTATGATGAATATACGATTCTGCCTGGGGGTCGATGGATGTTGGATAATACTAGGTGATAGCGCGTAGGCGATGAATCTTTTTACATAAGACCTTATAATTTATGAAAAGAATGTTTAATATCCAACAAGAGAATTCATCCTTTAATTTTTATTAAGTAATTTTGGAATTATAATTTCAAGTAATTGATTTATACGGAGGTGGAAAACTGTCTTATTTTCGAGTTATTTTTAAGAAACAAAAAACGAAAATTTTGGTTGTTTAAGAATATGTAATTCATTACATGTTCTCTTAATTTTTTCTTTTGTAATGGAAAAAAGAGCTTGCAATGATGACCTATAACCTAGCTTGAGGCTAACGGATGCTATCTTGGATGCTGTAGCATAGGCATCGAAAGAACTTTCTACAAACTTACTAAGAAAATAATGTTTAAGAATCTAATAAGAAAACATATCGCTATTAATTAACTAGGCAATTTAGCTCAGCAGAAATATAAATAGAAGAAATCGATAAATACAAATGAGGAAGTAGAGTATGAACTATACCTATCGTTTCGCTTATCTATTTATTATACAAAATATAGGGTAGACTATAAACATGACTAACATATTTTATGGTGTTTTTTTTAAATGTCGTATACTAAAGTCATACCCTGGACCGTTCGAGTTTTGTCTAGGTTATTCTTAATATAAACATTGACCTAACATAAATAGAAACACGACAAATTGATTTTAAAAAGTCACTCTCACTTAATATTATTTAACTTAATGGAACTCCCGCGGCAATATTTCAAATTACATAGTTTATAGTATAGAAATAATTCGATTTTTATTTTATGCAAATCCCGTTTTTTGTCTGACTAATTAATATGTATAAAGTTAATTGAAACGTATCAATTTTGGTAACCGCAACCTTCATTCTATGCAAATGTGTTCTTCACCCTCGACTAGACTATCAGATCATCATTGTTTTTTCTATCTAACTTTGATATATAGACGTTTTGTCATTCTAAATGTCATTATATAACGTAATCATGTAAAAAAAAAATGTTTTTCGTGATGGGCGCGTCGATAAACTGTGGGCGTTGCGCATAGATGATTTATGAATAAATTGTTCTAACTCTACGCACGAATAGATGCAGTTTTTGAAAGATGTCTTCTTTAACGTGTTAACTTGCTGAGTTAACACGTTAAAGAAGAAAACATTTACGGGCGTAAAACTCTGTAAATTATCAGTTAGAAGGTATAAGATTGTTTTATTTATAAGTTCGTGGATCCTTAAAGTAATTTTCTTTCTAGGAAAAGTTTATTTCCGTGCTGGATTAGCAAACCTGTGTACTATTATCCTCGACCATTTTCCACATCGCGGGTCATATGCAAATTGTGTTGTGACTGGTATTCGGATGTAAAATATTTTTTATGTAATTCCGCGCCGATTCACACAAATTAAACATTTATCTCTATACCTTTGTAATTCCTATTGTTAAAGTGGCCTTTACTTGCACCGTATCCGGCCCGAGGCTGTATTATACAAGCCTTTCAGCAACAATTTCTCAGAGAAAGGCGATCTTGACCCAAATGCTTTTAACGTCGTCCTTGTGTTGGAGGTCATATTCACACTGCTGTATAGATTATAGCTATCTTGTATTAATAAAATCGAGTTTAATATTGGATTATGGAAATTCTGGAGTTACCAAATCATCTAATTTTGTATTGTAAACGCGCTTGTTTATACTGTTGAACATTAGGATGGAGAACACGAACATCAGTAGCCTTGCATATTGAATCCTTGACTCTTTAATCGATTGATTAATGGAAAAAGTAATGCGTTGGTCATTTTTAACCGTTTTTTGCAAGCGAAATCGATAGGAGATGACGTGAAAAGTTTTTGAAGCAGTTTTGGCAACGAAGAAAACGATATATTAGAATAGAAATTTAGCAGAATTACTCAAATATTAATTATGTAACAACTTACGTGATCTTAGTAATAGGCACATAAATGGAAATGCGATTTTTAGATGTTAGGTAAGAAAGTTCCCGAGTTTTCCTCACACGTTTCAAGCCAAAAGCTATTTCTCCATTAACGCCAAGGACGAGAAAAACGAGCCAAGGACTCTACTTTTCTACATTTATCCTTGGCCGCCTCAGACCACAAGTTGCCACTGACCCGACGGAGTGCCATTGTTCGACTTACATTACGCGGAGGGTTTGGCCAGTTACGAAATTTCGACTCGTGGCTCCTTTCGTCATCTTTCGATGCTACAGAGATGTAATCATCTCTCTTGTAAATTTCATTTTTTTTTCTCGAATTTCTGCTGAATTCTGGAAGATAAAAATTCATATTCGTGCAAATATAAAAGGATATAATTTAGAAACTTTGGGTTTGGTTTTCAAACTTGAGTTAGGAGATTACTTTAAACTGGAGACAGAATGAGGCTAATTGGATAAACCTGGAAATTCTTTATCCTTTAGATAAATTTCACGAAATAAAGTGGCCAAACTATCTGATTCAAATTTATAAATTCTATTTCTTTAATTATTTTTTATTTACATCTCTTTATTATATTAGTGATAAATAAATTTATTTTCAGCTATCGATCATAAGAAAGTTTTCATTTTTTCAGCATAATTTACAAAGTCAATGTTTATGTAGTTTTTTTTTTAGTAAAAATTTGGGTCGTGTTACGATGTCACGGTGTCTGTCCTTGATTCGACCTACGTGTCAGATGATGTAATAGCAAAGCCATCACTTAATTGTCCATCTCTCAGGTAACCGACGTGAAGTGTAATTTTATGGTAAAATTCCGGCAAACACCATTGTAATTGTGAATTACCATTTCAAGTACGAGTTTAAAGTACGAAAATGTAGAATCGATTATTGTAAATCTCCAGTTACGTTTGTAAGATAAAACTTTTTTAATTTTAAATTTTGAAAAGTAACACCGATGTAGACCGACGAATGAATAACAGAGTGAAAAAATATACATTTTCATAGCATTTTTCATTAAATTTATATTTTCTATTATATTTATAACAAATGAAAACATCTATAAGCGATCCGGTTTATCACATTTACGATATATATATATTTTTTATTCGTAAATTGAGTTTGAAATTTCAAACTTTTACTTCATGCGTCATAAATTTTAAACAATCGTCGTGTTTCCTTGCACAAACTATCCTTTCTTTCAGCATAATTCGTCAATAATTTTTCTCTCGTAAATTTTAAAATGCTGATCCTCACGGAAGATTGAAGATAACAAATTGGATTTGATAGTAAGCTCATTGATTCTCGTGAAAGATCTTCACTCGACCATGAATAAAAGATCATCATTATTAATATAAATTAATCGTGGAATTAGAATTTTTAAGTGAATTAACTAAAAGTTAGACTAGATTTATAGACAACTGAAAGTATATTTTGTTTAAACTTATGGTGGATCGCTGATTGAACCATTAAGAAGCTTGCATGATTCATCTCAACCTCATTCTGCAAACTGATTTCACTTGGATTAAAACATCATTCCAAGTTGCATATTTCTATTTATTACGTTACTTAACATGTAAACCCGTACACGATCTCGTTTAGATTGTTAATTATTATTATTTAATGGAATAAATAGAGAATATTTATGACGACATTTTCGTGTTAAAAATCATCAACCAACAAAAAAAAAGTCGGTTTTAATGCCTATTCGCGTTCGAAGAATTTTTAAAATGCTACAAATTAAAGTTAAGAGTATTATTACTGAAAATTTGACAGGTGCTCGAGGGAAAATGAATACCTGAGTTTTTTAAAAGCGAAAAATTAGGTCACTTAACGCTTAATTCGTAAAATGTCGGAGCTTCGTAATCATTTGTCACTTATATTTTGCGTAAGAAATCTTTAATTCCATTTAATTGGAAAAATTTCTGTTTTTTAAAATGAAGTTTTCAATTCAACAAATTGAAATTTACACGAGATCCTTCTTTATTTAACAATTTGTGACGTAAACAATAACAAAACAAATATCATTTTTTTTTTTATTCAACATGGAGAAAGCCCTTTGTATTTTAGTTTGTTTTCTTAATTCGTTTTAGTTTTTTAAAGTCTTAAACAAATGCTGAAAACATTAGATAAAATATAGCATTTGATTGTTCGAATTAAATTTGTATCCATATCTTCGAGTATTTAACAGTTCCTTTTTTTCTTCTTGATGAGCTTAAATCTTTCGCTGACTAGTAATTCCGGAAATTGCTTCAAGATGATAGAACAAGTTAGGAACATGGACGGACGTCTCGTATGGGGCTTCTTGCGCAACTTGAATATATATATTTATATACACGAACATGAAAGTGACGCGTCGAACATGATTCTTTGCGAAAGAATTATAAATAAGAATACTGTCTTTGTAAATTTTATGGCAGTTCTTGAATATATGAAAAATTGAAATTTCAATACTACCACATAGCAGCAGCCTGTAAATCTATATTCACATCCGTGGGTCGAGGACGACTATCGGTAGTGAAACTTGTTAATTTTCTATTTAAAAAAAAAAGTAAAATTATAGAATTTCTTGTAAAATACTCTTATTTGATAGAAAATATACGTACCTCTGCATAGCAGAAAACGTTCCTTTTCTGGCCGCTTCCCTTTGGGCGAATTTTCCAAAATGGTGCAAACTGACCGCTTTTTTACCATTGATGATGGTGCTGATGTCTCCATCATCTTCGAAAGCTTCATTTTCGTAAGCAGCACGAGCCGAAGATGTTGCCCTCTTATCTTCCGATCCCCCCATTAGAGAATCAGGTTTGACAGACGTTCTTTCTAGTCTCTTTCTTTCGGGAGTGGGGCTTGCCGCTCCTTGCCCCACGAAGTATCTGTATGGAGTATCATAATCCACTTCCAGAATAGTGGAAAATTTGTTGGGATACAGAGTGTCCAATATTGTAATAGTGGCACCTACCAAAATTGCTACAACACCTGTAAATATATATCATATAATACGTTAAGCTATATATAAAATATTATAACATTAAATATTTTTCTTGTGATATTTTATTATAATATAATATACGAATGACTATTTTTTAAAGATTTAATTAAATTATAATTCAAAAATTAGGACTTCATCCAATTTGGGAATTCTCTAATCGAATGACGTGGCCCAATTTAGAGACGAGTAGTGATGACGTCAATTATTACGTGGAAGAAAGAGGGACAAGGGCGAGCTCTCTATCTGAGAACATTGACCTATTTGAAAGGAGTCGAATGGGATTTCGAACGCCCACTTGTTCACTCGATTTCTAGTAGTAAACACAGAATTGACTATATTCTCTTCTATTCTATTTTTATCACTGGAAAAACCCTTTTCGTATTTAAAAATCTTGTTTAACCGAATTAGACACACACCCACGGGTCAAAACTTTCCTTCTCTGAGTGAGTATGGTGCGTTAACCTGTGAGGTATAAGCCTACATAAACATCTTGCTAGAGATTGATTTACATTGTAGTTGAACATGTTATTGTTGATTTGATGCGTAGTAAACACTTGTTATTCCTCTGGTGTGTTATCACAATACCTTCATTCATTTTACCATAATTGGACGAGGAATGCATGTCTTGCAGCTCAAGAAAACGAGCAAAAATTAGTACCGTACAAAATTTTCGATAAAATATTTTTGTTAGATACATAAGAATTTAATTGTAATATTTTGAATTTCAAAATAGATATTATTTGCTGCGGGATGCAGATTATTATTTTTTCCTAGACCTTTCAGGCATATAATTTCTAAAATAAATACCCGGAATGAAGTTCATTTTCCTATTTCGTCTCGTCATTTTGCGTTGTTTCGACAGAAAAATACTTCATTAAATTAATTTCTGTAATTAAATTTAAAACCTCTTCACTAAGATATATCATACGATATTTAAATTTACAGATTGATCCGAATTTGATAACAATTATGCGAAATTAGAACGAGTCGAAAGGAAACGCATCTGTATTCAAGATGGCGCCGGTCTCAGATGCGGTATGCGAATATGTTTTGATTTTCTTATATTATTTTTTAATAAGAAAAGTGACTCACCTGCTACTAACACCAACCAATAACACCATCCGTATCGAAATGTTAACTTCGTATCTTCGAATGGTATAACTAAAGGTTTCTTTGGCAACAAAAGAGCATAAATGGCGTTTGTGAAGAGCATAATAGCGCCTACTAATTGCAAGGTATAAGCTCCATACCTTGGAACGGCACACAATAGAATATTCATCACTAACCACATGGAAAAGGCAGCCCTAAATGTAAAGAAAAATTTAGAAAATAAAACTCTTCCGTTAACAAGAATTTAACATTTTTTTTAATATAAACAAATCACGAAATTTCCGTATAATTTTTTTTCGCGTTGATCAGGATTTAAAAGCATCAGAAAAGCAAGAAGCGTAAATATTTTTAGATGATCGATTTTCTAGGTCCTTTTTTATGCAATTCAGGAAGAGAAAGAGTAATTATTATTAACAGATTTCAAGGTCGCACGCCAAGAAAGAAATGGAAAGCAAACTCACCAAAGTAAAATGTAGGAATAGTAACCAGCTTCTCTATACCTTCTTCCCCAACAAAAACCTTCTAAATCTTGACTTAAATATTCAGCTATTGTTAATATAGGATATGGCAATCCTTTCACTAGAGCTTTCTTATATTCCATCTTCAATTCTGTGGCTGAAATCGGTTAAATTTCATGTAAACATGAAGTAACTTAAAACATTACAAAACAATAGAATCTAAAGAGAAATTCAGATCGGTTAGTTATTATGGGGCTTAGATAACATTGTTCGATATGGGAGGAGGTGAAGCGGCCTTCTTTATCACACTTAATCTAGGCTGCCTTAGATAGGCTCTGTGACCAAAACCGAGTCGAATAGACCCAGCCTTGATCTAATTACAGTATTAAGAAGTGTCGAAATCGTTCATAATAACCCATTAAAATTTTAAGAGATAATAAATATCCAGCTTACGTTACGATTACAATTAACACGCTCGACTTAAGACGAAAAACCGGATTTAAAAAAATCAAAAGTAAAGAAAATCTTTGGCTCCTTTCACTACCTTCTCCTAAGCAGAGTTGCACGCTTCGACACGTGTTGCTGATGCGTGCAACGATGTTCGAAAACTTACTTTCATCGAAATTTGTCACAGGTACAGAGTTTCTCGTCGCTCTATTTGCCTCTATTGTTTACAATTTTAACCACACCTCCTCCTTTGGTTAGGTGACAGGGAGCGACATTTGTCATAACCATAATCGCGTTTTACTGACTAATTTAAATAACCATACACCCGTGGGAAAATATGTCGTTACCTCCTATCCAGTAGAACCTTTCGTTGTAGTTAATCTCTTCGTTACGACGGTGAATAGACGTGGCTAAATCAAAATATATATGCATGCAAATTAATACGAATAAGTATAGATATAAGATAATTAATTTATTAATATCTTACCTTGTAGAGTGACATTGACGCTATTGAGTCCGATTCTGACTCCCAAATTGGCAACTATTAATTCTCTGGAGAATGCACGATACGGACTAGATATTGTTGTTTGTGCCACGTGCCAATCCGTGCCGTAATTTGATACTGAAAATAATCAATATACACTCAATCAATCGTGGTTAAAATATATACGAACGCGACTTTCCCTTCTGATCACGTGGAGATTTTTTCCCGGATAAGGTGTGATCTACGCACGTGAAGAGGTTACTGTCCCTACTGCGGAATAAACAGGTCAGATGATGGACTAACAATTCAGAAGAAAGTGAAGTGCTTTCGTTAACTTCCTCTTGTCATACCAGTTTCGTATAATTATATAAATGTACCCGTTAACTACACATTTTTAAATATAAAATAACAGGGGGTTGAACTTGTTAAAGTATTTCAACTTGCACCTCTGTTAATAAAATTTATCAATTGTAAATGCGATAATTAATATATAAATAGACAGCTTTCTATTAATTTATGCTGAGGATAAAATTATTGACACATTGGCAACTTGATTCTTTAAATAACCAATAAATAATAATAATAATAATAATAATAAACAACTTAATCGACGTTGAAGCGGAAAAGTTCAAAAGCATTTAAATAATTTCTTTAAAAAAAAACAAGAAACAAAAACAGAAAAAAACAATCGTTCCAGAGCCGGAAATGGCTTTTGTACTTTCTTTAGAAGTTTACTAGGAATATAGGACTCAGATATAAAGGCCAAAATTAGTGACTAGGAAGCGGTTATCAGGGCACGGTTTTGCATTCTACATTTTTATAAATGCTTAGAAACAGTTTTTACAATTCTTAATTACTTTAAAAATTGAAAATATCAACATTTAACGACAGTAAAATTTAAAGAGACGATCAAACTGGCATTTTTGGCGGAAGTTGCAAAACAGGAAGTCGATTATAGAGTGAGCGAGCGACCCGGGCCAGCGAAAGTTTGACCGGCAGAAAAATCGGGTCAAGAATTAATCGTTATTCTATATCTGGGTGCGCCCAGTAACCGGAAACAAACCGACTTCTAGCTCGATTTTCGATACTAAATAATCATTAATTCAATCACGAAAACAACAAAAAAACAAAATTAATAAATAAATTTGAAGTAATTGAACAGGTCGTACTTACTTAGAATAACAGCTCCAACAAACAGACTGGTAGTTACCGAAATAAAAGTAGAGAGCCTCTGGAAAAGAAAAAAAAATATGTGTATNATATATATATAAGACGAAAATTCGTGTATAACGCGCACTTTATTATTTTTAAAAATAGCGTAAGTTTTTGTAGTAAATTAGTAGAGCTACATTAATTTCACTTTCATTGTAGTTAAGAACTACATCCGTTTGACGAGGTGGACTTTAGAACGAGTCGTTTATCATAAACGAAAAGAATCCGAAGAACAATAGGTAGATAGGGTCAAATCGGACAATAACAAGATAATAACAACGGTCAGTGGCCTTTAATAAACAGTATGACAAGTTGGAGATTGGAAGAATTGAAATTTAAAGTTTTTGAAATCAAATATTTACTGAGTCAAAATGGCGATGCTAGTGGATATTTATAGCATAGGGTAAAAAAGGAAAAGTGGTGAAAAGCTTTTTATAGGGAAAGTGACCCCAAACAGCTGATTTAACAGACAGGTAAATAAGCGTTCAAAAATTCCAGACTCCTCGAAATTATTACAAATTTTGACAATTTTATGCTCCAAGTCATTTACATAAAAATACTTTTTTAATAGCTATATAGCTCTTGTATAATACTTATAAGGAGCGTGTAAGTGGTAAAACCTTGGCCTATTTTTATAAAACAGCCTTCGGGGTGCCACAAATCGGACTTTAAAATCTCTTTATAAGATGTACGAATAGTTTTCCTCTCTGGCGTCGAAAATTACATATTATTTGAGACAAATGGGGGCTAGTCATATGTACAAAAACGTTTATCGATGACGGGATAAATAAGAGCTTAGTAACGTGTTTTGTAAGCATATCGCTTGAGTTGACGAGGAAATAGGTCATAAGAAATGCCTCGTAAGACTACGTGAAGGACCCCCCGGAAGTCTGTCTACGCATTTTCTTATATGAATTTTATCTCCTCTCCAAACCAATAAATAACCTTTAACCTCTTATTGTCAACCGTTTATATAGCTTTTCCAATAAACTAATTGCAGAACGTAGAAATTAATTAGCACTTGTTACGTAAGAGTCGAAATTTATGTCATCAATTATAAGTGTGATTACAAATTTCATTTCGTACAATAGGATTATTGGAAACGTACCCAGTACCCAGCACCAATAAGAGATAAGAATAAAACAATATCTCTCTGAGACAGCTACAAATTGCAATTTATATTAAATTTCTTGAGAAACCTACAATTTATGTAGATAATAAGTACACGGTCATAAACACACTTTCTCTCCATCGATCGGAAGCAATAAGCTCGACACGATTTTTTTGCATATTTCTAATATCTGCAGAATAATGAATATTAAAATTACAGAAAACGAATAACATGGAATCGTGGGTTCGAACTCTCACTAAAGAAAATAGAAAAATGGATATAATTTTTTTTATTTATTTACATGCGACAACATGATTATTAAACTGGCGAGAGACAAGGTAAACCGAGAGGTCAAGGTCCTCGAATTTAACCCACGTTCGCACCAAATGGGGCAACATAATCGAGTCGGGTGTGGGAATTCCCGAAATTGTACTTCAACTGTAAGGGTTATAACCTCGATTTTCAAAGTTTAAAATAATAATTATTATAATTGAGATACTTACTTCTTTTCTAATTCCAGGGAAGACGATCAAAAATGCCAAGAAGAGGGTAGAAAAGCTGACATAGATGATGATGTTGCGAATATCTTCTACGACAGGAGTCCTATTTGAAAAACTATAGAGTGTGGGTCCACCGTTCGTCCGAAAAGCGTCGAACCAACCTTTCAGCATGGTGTGAACTGGTATACGGGATAACAACTAAACACATAAAGAAAAGCGATACCGTAATGACACATTCGACGGTACGGAACGTCTGGCAGATATTCGAACATGGGCCGCCGTCGGTCGACTGTCGAACACCTCGAGTGTCAAACTTTTAATGTAAGCCGACTCGGGCACCGATTGAGAAACCGAAAAAAAGCCACCGAAAGTGGCCCACATAATTCCGAGCCCCGTAGACGTCACCACCGGAAACGGTGTCAAGGGCCACGGGTGACGACGGTCCAATCGGAAACGGATTATCCAACACGCCTGCGCGATAGTTGCAAAATGAAAGAGCCAAGATATCGGCAGTAGATAGACAGACAGATCTTTTTCTAAAGACCTGCAGTTCTTTCCATCTACAACTCCAAGTCTGACTGGTTGCGAACCGACACAACGACGACGATGCGATCGTCCTACTTTTACCTGCACTTCCGGCATCTACCCGTACCTAGTTTGCAGGAAAGGCAGTTAAGTTGCCTGAGAGAAACGCGCTCCCATCTTTCCATTTATATAAATTAGACCGATAACTTTTCTGTGGGCGGAAGATTTTCGCTTCCTATTCGTTAAGATTACACCCGCAGCCCTTCTGTTCATTTCTTCCCATTAACATGCCGTAACTTATCTTTTAATATATCGTAACGATAAAACACATTGATTTAAACAATTAAAAATGTCGCGTGTGTAAACTAAATTACTCATAATTTCAATTAGTGTAATGGGCAATTAATTAATGGCCGAAACGGCGCACATGTTCGAAAATTCATTAAAAGCTTATTAATTAAATTTATTTTTTAATAATAAAATTCTTTAAAGGAATTTAATATTTCACTAAACGCTTAAGGCAGATTTAGTTTCGACGCGACATCTGTTGGCATAACTCGAAATGATTTTTTAATTTAATTATTAATATTCTTTAAAATGAATTCTCTTCACGCGAAACCGTTTTAATTATATTTAAAATATTTTTCCACAGTATTTTTAATAACACAGTAGTAGCTTAAAACAGGTAAGCGATATTTTACGAAACTAGTTATTACAGTCGGCATGGTGAATCGAGCCAATGCCTCAAATTCCATGTAATTATCCACAATAATTATCATATGATTAAATTACTTTTCATTTACTTGATAAATCCTAAACCGTTTTCTAAGATATTTTACATTTTAATCGAATGAATTCATCCCATTCTTAACTTTTCTCCTATGTATTCCACATGCGATTCTCGGTAATTCTTAATTATGCCATCTCCTCGTGTATCGCTCAAATTATATAAACAATTCGCCGTGATAATTAACCATTTAATTTTCACCGAAATTTTAAAATTCTGAACGAATTAATTTAAATTTTATCACGTCAAAGAAGCTATTCACTTCGGACATGTTAAAAATATTTTTTTCGTGACTTATTACAGCAATTTTCTTATAATTTTTCCGTGAAGGGAATTCATACAAAGATAATGGATTTCACTTGACTTTTAAACTTTTTCAGTGGGTTTTTATTTATTCGTTTCTAACGTCGCGCATCGCTTAATTACGCTTCTGGAATTGTCCTTTTAGGTAATTTTTAAGTGTAAAACCCAAATAGAACTTTAAAGCTAAGTTCTAAGAGTTTGTTCCTGACTTTAAGATCATCTTCAAGCTATCATAGAGAAAAAAATTGTTGATTTATTATCAGTAAATCGTATTTAAACTGCAGTGAGCCATTATTTTCCATTAAAAACTTTTTAATTTTTTAAATTATTTATATTTTTAACAGACGAAGATGAATGGTTTCGCTAAATGTACTGTGGAGAAACCACTCCTGTACTATAATATGAACGTTAACATGTCAATCTCACAGTAAAAATTAATACTTTTTTTCTTTAAATTTAAATGTTTATAAAACTTTAATAAAATTCTGATAAACCAAATATTACATTTAATAAAAATTATATATTTTAAAAAAATCATTCTCTCTAATTTTTTAATAACTGTATTAATGTGTTAAATCATCATCGCGCCCTCTAGAGTGTATCTCGAGATTTACATACATATATAAAATTTTACTGTGCCGCCATCTTCAGTCAAAATTTCTTATTAAATAAGAAAAATACGAAAACGAATAGTTTGAATTTAAAAATTTTATAAACTTTAAACTATACTGAAAATAATTTATTTATTATTATAATAATATTTTATTTATTCAACAATGATATAAATAATTTTTAATCAACCAATACGAAATATTTTATAATATATTAATTTTTACTTTCCAGTGATTAAAAATTTATATAATTTTTATTTATTTATTTTAAATAATAATAATAAAGTTTTAAAAATATCAAAATTATATTTATTACAAAGTTTTACTTTTTGCTATTTTATATATTTTATATTCTAGTTTTTAAGTTCTTTGAAGACAAGCATTTTTTCTATAGATCAGTAGATTGTGAACTATACATTAGAAAATGCTATTCTAAATTGTTTTTACTTACTTAAGTTAGTAAAATGTATTTAATAACTGAGAATAAAAAGATGTTTGACAAAATAATGTAAAAGATATATTTTCTTTCATTTTAAACACACATTTTAATAAGACTTGCTTTCTTTATGATACATCTGTTAAATAGTGGTGCACCAAATAGATGTTTGCTAATTATACTAATTGGCTCCTCCATCAATTAATTGGAGTAATTAGCAAATAATCATTTCATTGGAAATCATTACTATTTTTTAAATTAAAAATGATTAAATTAACATTAAAAAATAAATGATATTGAAAGATATGATAACTTTATTAATAATAACAATTCAGGCTAATCATGGCAACACATCCAGTTCCATTAGAAACTATAAGACTTTGTATCTGTGTTTTCAAACTGAAATGTTCTAGTTTGTGTTAATAAATTTTTAAAAATATATATTTTTAAGAAATAAGTTTCAGTCTCATTTGTAGACAATTATCACATCTGACTGATAAATTTTTGGCACCATCTGCCTATTTTTCAAAGAAATATTTTGTTTTTAACAAGTAGATTATTGAATAATAATAATAATAATAATGTTATAACATTATTTTGCTAACTACATTGCACTTGAAAGGATATCTAATGTATGAAAGTAATTATGACACAAGTCAATTAATTTATCAAATAATAAAAGAAAAATGCAACAAACAGAAATACTAGTCAATGCTCAGAATAGCATCAGTATAGGACTGCCAAGAAAGTATATAATCCATATTAATATAAATTGAATTACTTAAAAAAGACTCTATAAAACTAAAATTTTATAAGATATTTTAAAAAATACCTGACAATAATTAGTAAACAATCATATGATTAGTCAAGTAAACCATCCAAATTAATCATTTGTCATTAATTGAATAATTTGATAATTGTTCCACCCTTACTGTGAAGTACCAGTTTTTTAGAATACAATGATAATAATATTTGTATATCAATGACAATGATAATAATTGTATATCAGTATGCATACTATGCATAATATCAATATTATAATGTAGTATACATAATATCAATACAGGTAGGCCTACTACAACGCGGTACCTTTACAATGCGTTTTCGCTCCAACGCAGTTGGAAAAATGCAGTAATTTTCTTACAACGCGATACTTTTACAACGCGGTTTACGGTATTTAGAAACAAATTATCTTTCACATAACAGAAAAATCGCAACGGATCACGTGATGCGAGCCACAGTTCGGTATACAGAACTAAAAGTCTTTGAAAACAGCTGTTTGTCGACGTTGGCGTGTTATTTATTCCCTTGAAAGTTTCAGGGGAAGACCGGTTTCTAGACAGATGTGCATCAGTTACCATAAACACTCAAATATATCACTAAATATATCATTTATACTGTTTCAATAAGTGGGGAAAGAAAAAATGGTTCAAAACACAGTATAAACTTCTATTGGGTGTATATTTTTAACAACATAGTGAAGAAAAGTTATTTTTTGCGATTTTTACTGTCCACAAAACTGATTGAAAAAATTTTAGCCATAACAATGCCGAATGAAAAGAAAGGACCGTCGTTAAAAAGGAAATTTATAACTCTTCAAAGATAGACATTTTGGATCAAATTAAAAATCAAGAGCGGATAGCTGATATTAGTAGGCATTTTAATTTAAATGAGTCGACTATTCGGTCANTTCCCTCTATCTTTCTTTTTTCCCCTTTAGAGCAGACAGAGATCTTTAAAGGAATTCTTTCCTTTAGAATAATATATACTTATTTTATCATTTATTTTTCTAAAAAATAATTTTTTGAATATTAATTAATTATTTATTAATCTAATAATATTTCTACACTAGGTACTAAACGTGAAGAGGCCGTTGATTTCGCAGAAATATTGAAATTTTCTGTTAATATTTATCTAGAATGAATAAAAAGTCTTTTAAAATAAATACAGTAATTAATGTTATGTTTACAAAAGTTAAACTACATAAATTATTACTATATTTTTCATTTTTGACGTCATACATAATAAGCGTGGGTTTTAATAGTTTAATATTTCATATACGTTGATTACAGTTGCATTGATTTGATTTTATCTTTTTTACAATTACATCTCATTTAAGAGCCTCGTTATGTCTGCTTTAAACACTGTTCGACAGTATTTTATTTTGTTTTAATGATGATCAAATGGCCATACATTTTTGTATATTTGACACCCTGAGGCTTCGTCTCGAATGCGAATCAGATCCTCAGGAATTTTTCGTAAGTGGATTTCGTCTCTTAGCATCCTTTGTCCCATTGCAAGGCTGACCGAATTTTCTGTGAAAAAGCCTTATTAGTGCCCACAGGGCAGAAAAAATTATTTTAAAATGTCTATTTTAATGTCCTTATTCTTAACTGCAATTCAAATATTTACGGCATTTTTTCAGTTTTGTTGGTGTAAACACTAAAGAACAAAACGTATTAAATGATAATGTACGAAGCTATATTTAATGTGACATGACGTAAGATTCAAGTTACAAATTCCCAGTAATGTATACAGTATTCAGAAATTAAATTTGAATCCTCAATTTAATGTACAAGAACAATTCATCAACAAATTCTGCCATTTTGTTGTTCATAATATTATTGTAGAAACATAATGTTTCATTGTATCACTATAGCTTATTCATGTTAATTTTTCTTATTTTATATTATATTGATTTATGTTTATTTATTTATGCTTTTCATTGTAAAGATTTACAGCTTTTCATGTTCTATTTATTATTAATATAAACATTACTTTAAATAAAGTTATGCTAATTAGATTAAAAACATTATTCTAACTTGGCATTTCAGTTTTTCTTATTCATACGGAAGTATGGATATAAATTACTAGAAAATTCTCCATCTTTTATTTGTCTGAATGGTTCATTGGAGAGACATTACGAATTTTTTCCTAAACATGTATTAATTTGGATGATTAGTTCGGACCATTTGCTATATGATCCAATGCAAATTGAATTTAAATTGAACATTGTTCTTTGGTAGATTGTGACACTTAAACTGCTCAAATCGATACAAACATTCGATTTTACGGATAATAAATAAACTAAATACAAATGTAATAATTCGATTTTCTATAGTAAAATAAATCCGATTTATTAATTAGAAGAAAGTAATATTTTATTTCTTACTATAAGTTATATTTTTAATTTTATCGCTCTGTATTAGTGGCAATGTATCGCCTAGCTTTGTAATTTACATAATATATAGAGTTAAAGAGAGAGAGAGAAAAGTTATTACTATTTCATATTATGAAATAATATGGACTCATTTTTCTTCTGTATTTCCACTTGACTTTGTTAAACGTTCTAAATATTTTCACAGAAACAAAATTTATAAAAGGAAAATTATCAAAGTTATTGGCTACGTAGATTATATGTCATGTAACGCTCTCGAAAGTAGAAAAGAAAATCTACATATTATTATCATCTTTTTCTTTTTGCTATTTACTGAGAGGGCGAAGAAAAAACCCTCTTAGTACCCAAAGCGGGTCAAGAGGGCGAGAACCTATCCTATCGGCAGGCTCTACATATTTAAAAATTCCTGAAAATTATTGTATACATAAACTAACAAATCCGGATATATCTGTATTTAAATTATTATTATTATTATTATTACTTATAGTTTTATTTTCATTAATTAAATTTAATAACGCACACCAGTATCAGAGTGAATAAAATCACTGAACGTTGGCGGGTTGGCGGGTTGTTGCCTCACCAACAGGCTGGCCACGTGGAGTTTTCCGTGTTTTCTTCGTGTAACACGTAAATAGGGGTCAGTTTCCCATAGAAACTTTCCTAGAGAAGTCCTTGGCAAATCGCCCATATATGTTGCGTTGCTTATACCATAACTAAACTAAACTTTGCAACGAATAAAATTTTTGATTAATTAATTTAAATCAATTGAAATTTTTAAGCTAATTTTTCATTCGTTTTTTTAAATATAAAGCTAAAATAGTGATGAAAATAATCGTAAAAATTGTCAACAAATTAAACAAAAGCTATTAAATTTTAAAATTCGGGGAATCCTTATAAAAATTTACCAAGTATTGTTTAAATTCTATATTGAGATAGCCTTATCAATAATAAAATAAATTTATCTTATTAGCATTATACATTATCAATTTATCCTTCTTGTTATAAATAAATTCATATTATTGATATACAAATTAAAATTATTTCATTGTTTGAATTACATTTCGAAATAAACAGAAAGCCTTATATACAGCATTAAAAAATTGAATATTATATGTAATTTTTGTTTTTAAATATAGAAATTATAAGAAAAGTCACGTATGTATCAATATACAAAGTCACCCATCATAAAACATTAATCAAGCGTAAACCGATGCATGGATAAGAATGGAAAGAATCGAATTTCAATGATTTTATTAACAATTTTTTAATGTTTTGTTTTGAAGATTTGCATTCTAGATCCACGTTTCAGGTTATTTCCTAAAGGGAAATTACCAATCGGATCTCGTTTCTTCTTGTATTTCTTCTTTATTAGGGGAATATCCAATACAACCATCTTCAATCCGATCACGAAGACACGAGTTTTTGCTTTCTTACATGTTATTTAGATAAAAATTTTCAGAAATTTTGTTACTAGAAACACTAAATTATAATTTGTTAAGAT